AAAAGTAGGTTACAAGGACATATATTCTATCACTTTCTGGGTATTTCAAGTATTTCACAGTTATGGATCTTATTATGCCTTTCTAAGAAAACTCTAGGTGGGTCATTTAGATTATAACTTACTGTTGAATTATTTTTGATCAACCAGAATTTCTAAAAAACTAAAATGATGAGTGGCTGTCTGTAATTTAGCCACTACCGAGCTTATGCTGCCACCTAGCAAAACTCATGGGAACAGTTAACAAGCAAACAAGCTGGTGGTCTCTTTAAGAGGAGCAGATTTACCACTTCAAAAATTTTCACATTTCAATGCAACTATGGTATAAAATTTTGTAATTTCATATATACATACAAACATATTTTTTGATATTCTTATCATTCATAATACATGGAAGAAAAAAATTCATTGTTAGGCATTTAGTTTCTATCCTTACAACAGTTCCCTCCTCCTTCAAGGGGAATATTTTCTGATACCCAAAGTAGAGGTCTGAAACCACAGGTAACTCAAAATCCTCTAGGTATGATATATGACACACACACGTATTTTTTACTTGTAAAATAGATGCAAAAATTAAAAAATAAAATAAAACACATCAATAGTAACATGCCATAGTGAAAATTTCTATTTCATGGTCACTATTAAATATGGGTCACTTGCACTGTGGTACCCTGATGGTCAATCTGAGGACTGAGAACTCAGGGACTAATGAGTGGTAGCACGGATAATGCAGGTACCCTAGAGTAAGGGGTAAGTTAAACGTGGACAGGATAGCACGTGGTTTCATATGTTGCTCTTAACAGCACATGTGAACTCAAAACTTACAAATTACTTCTGAACGTTTTCAACTACATCTTCTAACTGCAGTTATCTCAGATAATCAAAACAATAAAAATCAAAACCACAGATGAAGCTCACTTTACAGTAGTAGCTTAAAAGAAATTTAATGAACATACTATTTTATATCATATTGTAAAATTACATCACTTTTTTCTAGGGAGTTTCATGATGCTTCAATGGGAAGCATAAGTATTCCATCAGACAGCCATACCCCAACTGCTGTGGGATGTTCTGTATGTTAAATGTGTTGCTCTGATTGGTTAATAAATAAAACACTGATTGGCCAGTAGCCAGGCAGGAAGTATAGGCGGTACAAGGAGAGAGAAGAATTCTGGGAAGTGGAGGGCTGAGAGAGAGACACTGTCAGCCGCCGCCAGGACAAGCAAGATGTAAGGTACCGGTAAGCCACAAGCCAAATGGCAACTTATATAGACTAATAGAAATGGGTTAATTTAAGATTTAAGAACTAGATAACAAGAAGTCTGCTGTGGCCATACAGTTTGTAAGCAATATTAAGTCTCTGTGTGTTTACTCAGTTGGGTCTGAGCAGCTGCGGGACTGGCAGGTGAGAGAGATTTGTCCTGACTTGTGGGCCAGGCAGGACTGGAAAACTCTAGCTACACCCAACCCCAATCTCTCTCTCTCATACACACACACAGACACACACAGACACACACACAGACACACACACACAGACACACACACACACACACACACACACACACAGACACACACAGACACCCCTTCGACTAAGGAAAGAGATGAATAGAATAGTTCTACAAATTCTTTATTCACTATGTCATAGCATAGACACTTTCAACTGTGCATCCCTGCTTCTCTAGTTCTAATGAGATGGGAGGGAAAAAAATGTTAAAAATTTTGGAGATTTCTTTTTTCCTCTCATTTCAACACAATTTTTGGAAGACTTCACTTTTCACAAGACATTATTGAATATATTGTAAAATTATATATTATAAATAGAATATATTATAAAACTCATGAAATTAAATATATTAATTAAACACTAGACTTTATTCACTTATTTTGGCAGTACTGGGGACTGAACACAGGGCAAGCATTCTACCACTGAGCTATATACTCAGACCACCATATACCTTTAAAAAAAAATCAAAATTATAAAACAAGGGTTACTAATCAAATCACAGCTATGTTTATCATTACCTCAAAAACAAAACCAGAGGTTTATAATCTTTGCAAACTTGATGTAAGTGTACCAAAAAAGCAATCAATTTACCCCCGAGTCTTCACCACAACCACACACACATCAAATACAGGAAATCAAAACTATTCCCTGAACCAACTTAAGAAGAGCTATTTAAGATACTGAGACTCCAAGCCTGACAATTGAGTTCCATCCCTAGGACCACAGTGGTCTGATTTCCACATGTGAACTGTGGCAGGAATGTGGCCTATCCTCCCTCCTACATAAAATAAACAAATCTTTAAAAAAAAAGATGAGAGACATTTACAAAATATACACTGAGAGTATGATAAGCAAAAATATAAAGACAGGTAGAAGGGACATGAAATCTCTACACATACACTCCCATGTAAATGCTATTATAAACACTGACAAGAATTAAGTGGTGCTTCCAGAACTTACACAAAAATAAAAGCTAGCACTGGGTTTCTTAAGAAAGTTGTAAGTAGGACTACAGAGAGGAAATTCTAGATTAGGAGTAGTATGTACGAAGGACCTATATATAGCAAGGCTGGAAGGAAGCCAATGCAGCTGAGTACATGGACTGCCAGGACAGGATAAAACAGAAGGGGGACAGGCTGCCCTCATGTTGCTCAATTTTATTCAAAAGTAAGTCCCAGGATTTAAAACAAGGAAAATGACCTGATTAAATCTGTGCTGAACAAAGAACTCAACAGCAACAGTAAGATGATCAAACAAGAACAACAGTGTCCACTTCAGTAGCCAGGAGAGAGCAGACCCGCTCTCTGTGGATAGAGCAGACCCGCTCTCTGTGGAACAGGTGTGACAGGGAGTTTGAACCTTTCAGGTATGTCTCCTCTTTGGGGAAGCTGTTGCCAAATTTCTAGGAAAAAATGTCATGCCTGACGAGTTTTTTCTAGGCAGTCATCTTTATCCCTCCTTTTCTTATGCTTCTGGACTTTTATGTAGATCAATCTATATCGTCACGCGCCACATAAATTTTGAAGGGACATACACAGGACAGTGCTCCCATAGTAATTCATCACCAAGTAATAGTGATGTCATAGTCATTTAGGTTTTTGTGGTTCAAGGAAAAAATTACCTAATGCCATATATTTTAGAACCTGTTTCCATTAAGTCATTCATGACTGCATTTGCATTCTTATTTTGACCTTAATGATAACATCAACATCTCCACGACTTGCTGTCCTCTTTTTCCTCTATCTATAAGAACACATTAAATTTAAATTTGGGATATGGGTGATTTCTAATTTGATAAATTCATCCAGCCACCCAGAAAACATTTATAGAGCATGTATGTTCCAGGGGACACCCCCACATGCACACATGACAGAAACAGGTGGTTACATTGTGGAAAGCATTCTGGTTAAAGTCAATTAGTGAATTCTTTCTAAAGATCATACTTAGGAATTTTGAAACAGACTGAAGTAGAAAAGCAACATTACGTGACTGATTCCCTGACATTATGACCCTTGAAATCAAAACTGGATGAAAAACTACCCTTTCTGTGAACTTCCAAGGACAATCAACTTAAGATCTTTCACAGTTCATATATACAATAAAAAAACACCCCACCAACAGTTTTCTTGCACAAAATACAAGTTTAAATGAGTTAAAAAAATCAGTAAATTAGAAATACCTTGTTTCTCCCTCTTTGATACCTTACACCCCACTGCCTACTGAAGATTTAACCTGGCATAAGACAGTGACATATTTGTTAATTCTCACCAGAGAACGTTTTCTAGCCCTTTATTATTCAGTTTCCTACCACCAACCCTTTTCTGCTTAGAAGAGTCCCTATGCCTGCAGGGCCTTCAAATACATTACGGAATTACTTCCTGTATAGGATCCTCAAAGAACAAGGACTGTATCACACATCTGACTTTGCCTCCTTCAAAAACTTCTTCACTATTATTTGGAGGGGCGGGGATCTTCGATTATTCTCTATCATAGGTTACTGGAGAAGAAAAACACACGAGAAACATCCTACACAGCCGTGTATTTGAAAAAGTGACCTGCATATATACACGACACTCAGGGTAAGGAGCTCTTTCACGATAGTAGCTGTGAGGTGTCCGTTGCTCTTCAAAGCTTATTTTTAGGATGCCATACAATCGTAGGAAAAAGCATATACTGGAAACTCATGGTGGCCTGGCATGGGCTAACACACTACAGCGGAGGTGGTTGTGTGAGACTGGAATTAAGCACGAAACCAGGGAGAGAAATTGGGGACAGCGAGTACAAATAGCTCTTGGCGTTCAGCGGTAATGGAAACAGACACATGGGACCGGCAGTACGAGGAGAAAGAAACGAGGTGTCGGGCGTGCATACACGGTCACCCAAGATCTGTTAACTGGTAGGACAAACCGTGCTGCAGTTTCAAACCTCCTCCCTTCATTTCTGACAATCAAGAAAAAGCAGGTTTTCCGAGAGCCTCCTCAGGGCCAGGCACGAAAAGCTCAGTCAATCGAAATCTTACAACCTGATGAGGCAGGGACTATGGTTGAGTTCCATTTGACAGAGGACAATTAAAAGTGGCTGTACACCGAGGGACCTCCCGACCGTCGCACGGACGGACGTGTGCGGAGCCCGAGACCAGGGATCCGACCCGCCGTGCGTGGCTCCCGTCTCCGGCCCCGGCCTTCCCGGAGCCCCGCACCCCACCCGCCGCCGCGCGGCGGCTCCCGCCGGAGGCTGAGAGGGCGCCCCCGACACCCCGCAGCCTCGGCCCGCGGCGCTCACCTCGTTATTGAGGTTCAGAGTTCCCGGCCGAGCCATCGCGGACGGAGGAAGAGGGTCGGCCGCCATCTCCGGCACGTGAACGCCACCGATTACACCGCGGCTGCGTAGGCACGCCCCCTGACGGAGGCCTCTTCCGCCCAAAACTCACCGCCCACCGCGCGGACGCCTGAAAAAAATGAGTCGGGCCCTTCCGGCAGTACCGGAAGTTGGAGGGCCGACTTCCGGCGCGTGGGCTCCCGGGCAGAATGGAGCGTTTCCTTGGAAACCAGGCGAGTGAGCGCTCCAGTGGGCGTGGTATTAGCTGATGTTTGCAGAATTATTTCCACCATGATGGTTCCGCTGTGCTCCGTTTTAGTTGGAAGGACCTGAGGGGGAGAGGCGAACGTTTTCCTGAACGGATCAAGTACTTGAATTGCCTTTTTTTTTTAAATTTGTTTTTCGAGACGGTTTCTCTGTGTAGTTCTGGTGCCTGTCCTAGAGCTCGCTCTTTAGACCAGGCTGGCCTCGAACTCACAGAGATCCTCCTGGCTCTGCCTCTCGAGTGCTGGGATTAAAGACGTGCGCCACCACCGCCCAGCTTTATAAAGCTCCTCAAAGCCTTTTGTTTCTTACTGGCCGAAGCGTGACTATGTGGAAAGGCTGAGTTTTGGTAAATGGGATATTTGAAATAAAAGAGGAGCATTTGTTACTGCTGGTAAGAACTGTTTTTTGAAGAACTGGATCTGTAGGCATAAGAAATGCAAAAGGAGATCTCTGATTTAGATCAGTTATTAATTACACATTCTAGTAGTGACCATTACAGTGGATGAAGTCCTGGGCCAAACGATTTACATTAACTCCAAAATCTTACCTTCATAAAAAACTGACATCAAAATAAACTGGCTTGTTTAAAGTCCCTAGCTAGGGCTGGCCACACACAAGATTTCAGATACCACTGCATAGATTATGGGGCCTATTGCAAAATAGAAATGCAAGACCTCCTCATTTAAAAACCAGGAAAATGTTTATTGCATTGTGTCTCCACTTGTAATAATAATATTAATAATAATAGTAATAATAATAATACCCCACAAAACTGCTGTGGTGCCCCCTCGGTTTTCTCCATTGCAAGGTTGCAGAGTTACCAGTATGGACCCCAATGATGGCTGCAATTTCTGCTTGAGACTCAAGAGTATGTATTTGAGCAAGATGACAACAGTTGCTGGGTGGGAATATTGGAGGAAGAAGCTAGAGAACTCATCTGGTCAGATCTGATCAAAGACTAGTGGAACTGAGAGTCCGTGAGCACACTCAACAGGGACTCAGTTTTCCCTGTCGTAAGTTCTTTAAAGTCCCTGAACTCCCACTGTGTTGCTGTGCTTGGGCTGATCTAACAAAACCCCACAGACTGGGAAGATTACGTGACAGAGGTCTATGTTCTCAGACTTTGCCATCAGGGTTAGTTTCCAGGCTCTCCAGTTGCACATGTCTGGCATGTAATTTTGGCCGTATTCTCTTACAGTGTTTATTCTCTGCACATTTGGAGAGCTCTCTAGTGTCTCTCTCTTTTAATGGCCACAACCCTCTTGGATTAAGATCTTACAGTAATGATCTGATAAAGCCTTAAAATTATTCCCACAAATGTTTTATCCCTGTTATCACATTAGGGATTAGGAATTGAATATATGGACGGAGAGTAGATAAAATCAAGATTTAGTTCAGAAAGCATACTTCTAGATTGCCTCAAAGTAATCTTGACTTTCGGCCTTATTGTTGTCAATGCTATCATTTTCCTCGATTTGTAAATAGAACTCATGTTTGCAAATACATTTAAACCTAGATATTTAGCGTCAGGAAAGAATCAAAAACTACACTCAGACATATGTAGACAATTTTCTTTTTACAAGATTGTGAAGGTAATTAAGTGGGCAGAATAACAGTCTTTTAAGCAACGTGTGAGTAAATAATTAAATATCTGTATGAAACACTTGTATCACACCACTCCAGAACTAAAGAAACTGCAGATACCAAAACGTAAAAACTCAAACTTACAGAAAATAACTTAGATTACAAATCTTATGACCTTGTATTAGGTAATGCTTTCTTACATATAAAAAGATCCACATGGAATATATTGACGAATGGCACCGAATCAATGACACTGCGAGTGTTTCCCCAAGCACGCCATTAGAAGAAGGAAAGCACATGATGACTTCATTCGTCATTCTCTTCCTTTGACTATAAGCACAGGTTTTGTGGTATAAACTCTTAGCCACTAGGACTCTAGGGAGAGATGACTTTGTAGGTCACTTTTAGACCCACCTGCACTTCATAACTTTCACTTCATAACCAAACATCTGAGTTGAAGGTAACATCTCAAAGTTAAAAACAAATTGAGGGCGGGGCGGTGGCGCACACCTTTAATTCCAGCACTCGGGAGGCAGAGCCAGGTGGGATAAGTTTTAGGCCTTCTGAAGGCCTCTTGGCTGTGGCAAAAAACCGAATCAGATTGAATCAGGGAAAGTCTAGGTTTATTGGGTAAAAACGCTCCAGGGCAATTCAGAGTGCAGAACATGAGTCTGTTTTCTGGGATGCATATATCCCCTGTTGTCTTGAGCCTCTCTAGGGGAGGAGCTGTGTTTGGCAGGCTTTGAAGGGGTGGGTTTGGGGAAAGACATGGGGAAGAAAGCAGAGGTGGATCTTCCACCAGACTCCTTCCAAACAAGGCGGATCTCTGTGAATTCGATGCCAGCCTGGTCTACAGAGCGAGATCCAGGACAGGCACCAAAGCTACACAGAGAAACCCTGTCTCAACCCCCTCCCCCGCAAAAAAACCCCAAAACAACAAAAACAACAAAATAAACCGAGGCCATCAGGGCCTGAATTGGCGGAGGACACAGATGGCGCCCTCCCAGACTTTTGTTTGGGTGTGTGTGTGGGGGGGCATTACCAGCAGCCACCTGGCCCCAACTCAGGTGGGGTGGGCAAATCAGCAAGGAGCCTGCCTGGCACCAAAGGGTACCATCTTACCAGGCACTGCCCTAGGTTTCTAGGCCTGGGCTCAGGAGAGAGGAAAGACAACAGCACTGAGCCATTCCTTAGCTGGGGTGGTGGATAGTACTCAAAAAAGAGCCACTTGTGACCCAACGAAGAGCCCTGGTGCTGAGCGGTTGGGCACCACTGTGGTGGGAGCGCACAAGAAGGGGAGGTGGAAGAGAGAAGAGACAGGGAGAGGCAGAATGGTTAGTGGGCTGGGGAGAGAAACAGATCTAGAGAGGCGAGGGTGGTGAGGAATGGGCTGATGTAAATGGCCAGCTGGCCACCCAAGTCCAAGGAAATGTCTGGGCCAGGTCTTGGTCCAGGGCCCTGGAGCAGCCGAGGGGGGCCTGTGTTGTTGATGTCTGTGGCTCCTTTTGCCACTGGGAGATGTGCAGGAGCCTCTGGTCTAAGTCACCGCCTGGGGCCATGTTGGTGTCTGAAGGCCATGCTGCTTCAGGGTCCATGATGGTATTTGTGGCCCGAGCTGCCACCTGGGACCATGGTGACATCCAGGCCCCAGGCTGCTTCCTAGGACCATGTCTGGGTCTGTGGTCCTACCACAGCCAGGGGCTGTATTGATTTCTCTGGTCCATGTTGCCACCAAAGACCACATAGATGCCTGGGCTCTGGACTGCAACCTGTGGCCATGAGGGTGTTCCAAGGGCTGTGCTGCACCTGGGACCATGCTGATATGGGTGGCCAGGTCTACCACCTGGAGCCATACAGATATCTGGGCACTGGCCACTGCCTGTTTAGGTCCGTGGTCCTGCTGCTGTTGGGGTCTGTGGTGATGTTCATGGCCTGTGTTAGCACGGGAGTCATTGAAACAATGCTGTGCTGAGCCAACCCCTCCCTTCACTGGCCCTGGGATGGCTGGCCCTGCAGCAGGAGAGCTGGCCCTACCCCTCACCTTAGGCGTGCACCTCACCTGGGCACCACACTAGAGTTGATCCTGTGGTTGGGGACACATGTGGGAGAGCTGGCCCTGGAATCACAAGAATGGGAGAGCTAGCCCTGCCCCATACTAGTTGTAGCACACAGGAGAGCAGGCATGGTACCTTCCCTGGGCAAAACTGTAGAGCTGGCCCTGGTGATGTGAATGTCGGGGACCCGGATCTGAGGACCTGAGAGCAGGAGCACTGACCCAGCTCCTTGCTGTAGGCTGCATTGGGTGAGCTAGCCGAGGCAGTGCTGGAGAGCTCACCCAGGTAGTGAGGATGAGGGAAAGCTGGCAGGCTGCTCAGCCCAGCTACCACCCAGGCTCAGAACCTGGGCTAGGAGTTGGCCCACCCCAACATCCACCAAATCTATGAACATGTTGGAGCATGAACCTACAGATCCAAAACAGCAGGGTCTCTATCCATGACACAGGACAACAGGATATCCAAGAGGACCCCTAATGAGAGCCCGTAATTGGTGGTGGAGACCTTGAGTCAGACCAATGACTCGTGGCAATAACACTTGCAAGTAAAGATGAATGGACTAAAGGGTAAACTGAGTGACTCAGCAGGGCCACACTACAGCTCCCAAGGCAAGATTCTTCTCTTTCTGTCTTGTTTTGTTTGGTCTTTGGTTTTCCCTTTACATTTGGTTTTGATTTGGGGGTGGGGAGGGCCGATGTGAGGAGACAGAGAGATAAGTAGGATCAGAACGCATGATGTGAAATCCACAAAGAATCAATAAAAGTTAAAAACCAAACAAACACAAAACCAAATTGAGAGGAAGAGGTCACACCAACATGTTTCAGCAACTATAAATTGGAACTATAATGGTATTTTAGTAAACTCTAATTTATAGTGCCACTAATTACACAGCCTGAAGATAAATCCTTCAAGTACTGATACATAGTTTACACCCATGAAAGGAAAGATGACCATCACATGTATGAACCACCAGCTCATGAATCCCTGTATCCAAGACTCCCAAAAAGACTCCTTCCTTGTTAAATTCTTCAAACTTCAGTTGAACTAAAAACTTTCACTTGAACTTTCAACTGACACCTAAAAAAATTGAACTTTCACTTGAACTTATTGAGGTCCATTGACAGGTTTCCACAATATGCTCACTTATCCATATTTTAATTGCATACATCATAAGAGCAAAGAAATCCTGCCAGTTAGAAAGGCCTATCTCATTCAGTGACTAGAGTGTGTCTGTTTGGGCAAACTCAGAAAGAGATTCCACATATAATAACTGCACAGATTGTTCAACAGACAGAAAAGAATTGGATACAGTTGCTGTGGAGATGAGGAAATTTGTTATGAAACCTCCACAAGTCATTCTAGTAAGAACCAAGAAAATTTCTTTTGTCAGTTTTACAGTATCTGTAAACCACTACATCATCAGCCCAAACATCTCCTTGCACGTTTTTTATTGGCAGAATTTGGTACAAGTAGTTCTATAGATGGCAATAACCAACTTGCAATTAAAGGGCGATTCCCACAGAAACAGAAATAATATGTCTTAAGAAGATGTATCAAGGAATTCTTGTTAAACATGCTAATCACCAGACCCAATCCTGCAGATTCTCGATGCTTTATTGCTGGTATAAAAACTGGCTTCCAGGCTATCACAGGCAAGCGAGCTCAGTTCCCTGCCAAAGTTAACTAGTTTGCTAATCCCCACTAATTTTCCCCAGTGTGTGGGCTGGATGGGTTTACCATCAGAGTGGACATACCATTGCGTTAAAAATAAGACAGAAGAGCTGCCAAGTTCTCTGGCACTGACCTGAAATCCTTGCAAGATGACAATAATCAAGTTGTTGACATACTCATTACTTACTTTAACAATTGCCAGAGAAATACGATGGGGGACCGGGGTTGCTTTTTAAAGTTGTTCTTTACACTTCTGTAAAATGCAAGATAAATAAATTATTATGGAGTGGTGAAACATGAGTAGGGACCCCAGGTAAGTTTTGTTGGGTCAACAGTGGGCAGAACGCCTTTCTTCTGTAAGCCACTGATTTCATATTCATTGGTACTATAATGTTCCATTGTTTCACCATTAATGAAGTGCTTGATTCTCCTTGGGACATTCTTCTCTTTAAACCTCTGGCTCCCAGTTCTACATTTCTCCCTTTCATTACACATCACTGCGCCTACCAGACCACATTTACAGCAAGGAGCCTCCCCTAGTTGTAAGTATTTTACTGAGAATTTTTCATCCATGCTTATCATTTTTTTTTTGCTGTTAGGTCTTTGGCTTTTAATATCAAGGTAATATTGGCTTTGTGAAAATTACTTGGAAATATTCCTTCATTTTTTATTTCCAGTCTACTCCCAGTTAACTTTCTCTGCCCAGTGCTTGTGGATCAAGATGTAAGCTCTCCTCTGCTGAGCTTCCTGCCTGTGGGCCGTGCTCTCTACCATGATGGTTATAGACTCTAACTCTGGAACTGTAAGCCCCAAACAAACTATTTCTTTATAAGTTGTCTTAGTAATGATGTCATATTAGGGCAATAGAAAAATAAATAAGACAGCTTGTAATACCACCTATAGTCCTAGAACACAGGTTGTGGAGATTGCAAGCTTTGGATTCAGGGAGAGACCCTGTCTCAAAATACAAGGTAGAGAGCAATGGAAGAAGAAACCTGACATTGACTTTGGGAGTCCACATGCACACATGTGCACACACACCTGCATACAAATGTGTTCTCTCCCACAATTTTTTATAGAGCTATATTTTACTATTCTTTGGGTACTCTGTTGCCATACTAAAATCAGGTCTCAATGCCTTTTAAATTGTATCCCCTATAATTTTAGGTGTAGGGACACCTGTATCACACCTGTGTGAATGTAAACTATCCTGAACCTGGCTGTGGTTTGTCATTCTGATCATACTTTATCAGAAATTGTAGATTCTAGGAAATATATATGGGCACATGCTACATTCATTATTTGCTCCTTAGAGAGGAAATCAAGGTTAGAGCACTGCGTAAAGTCTTTGTACAATGTTTCCTTGTACACTTGAAAATTTTCTTCGAAGAGTGCTAACCCTTAAAATAGAATTTATAGCATTCCTTTGGTTTTGTTCCAATGTGAATAGACTCTGTTCTCACATTCCTATTACTGAATTAATTCACATTAAGATCAAGAACAGAACAGGCATTCCCACTATCACTGTTATTACTTAACAGTGATTGGGAGTTCTCAGGAAAATAGCAATATAGTAGTTTAAAATATCATAAAGACTGAAAAAAGTAAGTAATTATCTTCCTGGTAATATGCTATGAGAAAATTCTTCTCTCTGGAAAATACTTATAATAATGCCTGGAAAATAAATATACCGAATTTATTGTTTGTATCTACATTAGCAATAACTAGATAAAATACCAGCACTTGATATTTCTCAAAATTTATAAATTAGCCAAATTGACAGTTCATTTTCTAGAAGTATTTTTTTTTTGCTGTTGTTTATTTTTTAATGTATGAGTGTTTGTTTTGTCTGTCTGTATGTATGTGCACTACAGAGGCCGGAAGAGGGCACTGGGCTCCTGGAACTGGAGATACAGACAGTTGTGAACCACCGTGTGGGTGCCTGGACCTGAACTCATGTCCTCTGCAGGAGCAGCCTGTGCTCTTAACTACAGAGCCATATTTATAGTCCCTGCTTTGTTTTAGGTGAGGCTAGAACTGGTTGTTAGACGTTCTCACTGTTCTCTTCAGACTGCTTTGGGCAAACATTTCTATCTAGGATATTTTTCGTGCACTTTGGAATCCCACTGTAGCTGTTAGAAAGTTAATAGACTTTTTCCAGGAAGATGGTTATATTTGTACAACTTTGTTTTACTTGCATCAAGAGTGAAAACATAAGCTATCAAGAGTCGTGTCATTTTTCTTACACATGCAAATTATAGCCTTTAGTATTTGGACTATTTCAATAATTCCATAAGTCACAGATCATAACACAACTGTTTTTGCCATCCAGAACCAAGCAAGTGACTTTTTCCTCCTTTTGACTGTGCATTTCAACCCTTTATCCTCTGGGTGGCAGTATTGTTTTCTAAATTGCACACCAAAGCTGAAGTTGGAAAGCTGAGGAAAGCTATGTGAATGATTTAAAAAAAAGGAACTTGTGGGTCTTCTGAGTCTATATTTGGTAAAAGATGAAGACTTTGGTTTTTATTTTAAATGAGTCACAAACTACAGTAAACTGTTTAGATTTATTGAAGATTCAATTATTAAATGTATTAAAGAATACACCAGTGGTAGGAGACAGGAAATATTCAAGTTACAAATTTAACATCTTCCAAAAGTTGGCATTTTTTGCTTAGGTTTCATTTGAATTTTAATGGAGTAATTTGATTGAATTTATGACTTTATATTTGTTGCTAATCTAAAAAAGTTCTATTGTTGCAGTTGTAGATCGCAATATTCTAAAACAGCTAATTAATATTTTATAAAACTTAGTTTTACAATATATAAAGTGAGGGTGCCAATACTTACTTAGCAACTTGTAGTTGTAGCAAAGGGCTTTAGCTCTGGAATCAGATTATAAAATGGCAATCTCCAGTTTTGCCAATTAACAGCTATGGTATCTGCACTTCAGAATTCATGTATTGTAAACCAAGGCTTTACTGTCCTGCCCAGTCCTGCAGCCACTTTAAAAATAATTGTTCAGAGGCTTAATATTAATTACAAACTGTTTGGCCTATTGCTCAGGCTTGTTAATAGCTAGCTCTTACAATTTAAATTAACCCATTTCTATTAATCTATATTTTGTCATGTGGCTTTGTGGTGTTACCTGTTCTCTAGTACATCTTGTTGCTCCAGTGGCTTTCTGGCATCTGTTTCTGACTCCACCCTTCTTTTCCTAGTATCTCTGCTTGGATTTCCCGCCTGGCTCTATTCTGCCTTGCTATAGGCCAAAGCAGCTTCTTTATTAACCAATGGTAAAAAAAAAACGTATTTACAGAAATGTGTGCCAAGATTTCTACTTGCAAAACATGGAAATAATAATCTGCCAGGTTGTGATGATTAAGTGGAAACCCAACATACACTTGAAGACTACTTGCTTCTCTATAGCTTAAATGGTTATTTTCATCATTACATTTGATCTTAACATTCCATATGAAGGATTCATGTCTCATGAATGACAAATATGCCAAAGGTCGTAGTGGTAACAGGGGCAGTTCAAGCCTCCTCACCTGTAGTCATTGGTAACAGTTTTGTAACAGCCATGTGAGGTGAATATAAAGCATTTTAATAATTTGTGAACACCATGCTGTTCTTTTTCATTCACCTAATTACCAATTATTCAACAATTAATGATACAATGCATTTAATAACTGTAACTCTCTTCATATATTTGACATGCAGTGTTTATTATTTACACATTTGCTCACTATAAAGCTCAAGATTACTGAACCAAAGTCTATAGCAATTGAAAACTATGCTTAGAAAACATTTAAACCCAGTTTCAACTCATTTTCAATACAGTAGTAGGCTTTGATTCAGTTTAATAAACATTTTAAGCATTTATTTGCAAAACAATTTGTTATATTCAGTAGAATAGAAATTGACAAATATATTGTTTAATAATTTTGTGGTAGGAAGGCAGATTTTATCATGTGTAAGAGTAGTATAAATGTCTAGTAGAGTCGTATAGTGAAACTGCTTATTCTGTGTTGAAACAAAGCAGTTGTGGTCATCCAAAGGGGACCTTGTAGAAACCAGTTCTATTAACATCCTCTCATCTGGAGGGAAGAGGTTCCCATGATTCAGAAGGCCTCTGATAGCCTCATGAGGCCCTTCTCCTTCCGGATATTATGTGAAGTAAACAGTTGACTGGAGTGACACTCTTCAGTCATGCCACTGCCTGAGGGTTCCTACATGCTGGGGGTGGGACCTCTTGTAGTGATGTAACTGCCTTCAAGTTTCTCATGCTTCAGTAAGTAAACCCAATGAACTGAGCTGGACTTGGAAGGCTTTCTTTGGTCTGTCTGTGCTGGTTCTGTTTGGAGTGAATAGAGTACGCAATTACATTGCCCCAGGAAAAGTCACGCAACAAACGTGATAGGGGAAGCAAAGTAATTGGAATAGAAGGTTTCTAGAGTAGGTTGTGTTTAAGTTCAGATTTGAAAAAAAAGGGCTAGTATTTCTATAAAAAGCCTAAGTAAGAAATTCAGAGGAAATTAAATAAAGCAAGTAATAAAAAACACTGTCACATCATTAGAATAGATTTTATAAAGAATTTTTAATGAGTTTTTAAAGGTTCCCCAAACATTGTTAGATGTAGGAATTTAAAAAGTGAAAATTTCTTAAATATATTTCTCACATTCCTACTGAAAAAAAAGTACTGTTTTTTTTTTAAATTTTGAATTCAAAACAAAGCAAGTATTTTTGAGAAAAAAACAACTTGTGACTCTTACTAAACTAGTAGAAGCAAGTTTCAAAATATCTGTGAATATGGATGTATAAATTAATAGCCAGTTTGTAGCTGAAGTTTTCACGTGTCCCACCTAGCTCACGGTTAGGACAATTCTCTCTCACCCATCAGTCCTGCAGCTGCTTGGACCCACAGGCTAATATTGTTTTTAAACTATGGCCATGGCAGGCTTCTTGTTATCTGGTTCTTATATCTTAAATTATAACCCATTTCTGTAGATCTATACTTTGCCACATGGCTTGTGGCTTACCGGTACTTTTACATCTTGCTTCTCATGGCGGCGGCTGGCAGCATCTCCTCTGCCTCTCCTTTTTCTTCCTGTCTATCTGTTTGGATTTCCCACCTTCCTCTAAGTTGCCTTGCCATAGGCCAAATGGCTTTATTTATCAACCAATCAGAGCAACATATATTCACAGCGTACAGAAAGACATTCCCATCACCAGTTTTTAGAAATTTTGGTGCATTCTATTCAATTATAAAGATAGAAATTTGGAAGAGACTAAATTGAATGATATTAAAGCCTATTCAGAGAAAACATTTTAAATTTGTTATCATTAAAAAGAAAATAATTTTGTTGTAGGTATGTTGGGTCACTTGTCCATCAAAACCAGGATAGATCCCCCCCCGCCAGTCAGAATGTCTGTCATCACGTAAGTAATAATAAATGTGGTGAGGATGTTGAGTTTAGGAAAAGGAGCACTTGAGCAATTTTGGTGGTATTATACATTAGTCTGGACACTATGGAAATAAGTATGGAGGCTTAAAAAACCCCCAGAACGAACCTTAAATGTACGGTTAACATATGAACCCATGATACTACTTCTTGTATATCCCCAAAATAATTAAAGTTGGCATAGAGTAAAGATGCTTGCACATCCATGTTTATTATGGAACTAATCATAACAAAGTATTAACTTAGCCTAGGTACCTGCCAGTGAATGAATGTCTCAAGAACATGAAGTTATATATTCACAACTGAGTTTTATTTTGTCATAAACAAGAGTGAAGCTGTATTACTTTTAGGAAAATAGATGGATCCAGAGATAATTTTATGAAATAAGATAGACTTAGAAAGACAAACTATTACATTTTTCTCATGTACAGGAAAGAAAGGGAGATACAGAGAGAGACTTTTGGGAAGCAGAAATAGTGTACTATTCTTTAAGAAAATACTGCAGTACAGGAGTATTTTTAAAATACTGTATTTTAAAAACAATACAGTACTATATTTGTACCTAACCATAGTGGGTACAAAAAAGAGTAGTGTGGTGAATATGACATTTTATATATGTATGAAAATGTAATAGTTAAGCTTATTATGTTATAAAATTAATATGCACTCATTAAAATAATTTTATTATTAAGAAAGATAAAGTAACTTAAAAACAAATTGTGAATAAAATGGATGGAGTCATGATGGCTAGCGGAAGGAGACAATTGCTAGCTAGCAATTGTTACTTACCTTCCTCTGAGGGGTTAAACTCTTTCTACCTACTAAGAGGAGACACGAAGAGAATTGATCGTTATTGATTCATTTTGTGAAGTCAAGTACTATTTCTGTATCATCTCTTCAGAAATCATCACTGCATCAAATACTTCCTGTGTTAATGCCATGCTAACACCCTCTAGTCATGATCACCAGTGACCTAGATACTAAACTATGATACAGTGGTCTAGGTAAAGATTGCCAGTCCAGTTATTTGCAAGATTAAGTCATTTTGAAAGTATGGGATGAGCCAATGACTCCTATTTATTTATTTATTTATTAATTTATTATTTAAACCACAGTTTCTCTTCCCACCTCTCCTCCTGCCCCCTCCCCCTGCTTCCCATCTACCCCCTCTCCCCACTCACTCCTCCTCCATCTTCATTCAGAAAGGTGCAGGCCTCCCATGGGCTCGAATAAAGCATGGCACGTCAAGTTGAGGCATGACTGAGCTCCTTCTCTTGCATCAAGGCTGTGCCAGGTAATCCAGCATGGGGAACAGGTTCCCCAAAGCCAGCCAAGTACCAGGACAGGTCCTGCTCTCACTGCTAGGAGCCTTACAAAGAGACCAAGCTACACAACTGTCACACACATTCAGAGGGCCTAGGTCGGTCCCATGGAGGCTCCCTAACTGTTGGTCCAGAGACCATGAGCTCCTGCAAGCTCAAGTCAGCTATCTCTGTGGGTTCCTCATCATGACGCCCCTGACTTGTATAGTCCCTCCTCCCTTTGTTCAGCAAGTCTTCTGGAGCTCACCCAGTGCTTGGTTGTGGATCTCTGCACCTGCTTCCATCAGTTACTGGATAGAGTATCTGATGACAGTTAAGGTAGCCACCAATCTGATTACAGTAGATGGCTAGTTCAGTCACTGTCTCCACTATTGCAAGGAATCCTAGCTGGAGTCATCCTTGTGGATTCCTGGGTGTTTTCCTGGCTCCAGTTTTCTCTCTATCCCTGAAATGCACCTCCATTAAGATGTCTCTTTCTTACTCTTCCCCTCTGTCCCTCCCCCAGCCTGCCTCCCAAACCCAACTCCCACCCCACCCACTCTCTCAAGTTCCCATTCCTCCATTCCCCCTCCCCTGTCTCCAGTTTACTCCGGATATCTCTTCTATTTCCCCTTCCCAGGGAAATCCATGTATCCCTCTTTGGGCCCTCCTTGTTATCTAGCTTTTCTGAGACTGTGGATTGTAGGTTGGTTATCCTATACTTACTCCTAATATCCACTTATAAGTACATACTATGTTTGTCTTTCTGGGGCTGGGCTATCTCACTCAGAATTTTTTTCTAGTTCTATCCATTTGCCTGCAAATAAAGAATTCAAGAAACTGGACATCAAAATACCCAATAATCCAATTAAAAAATGAGGTACTGATCTAAACAGAATTCTCAACAGAAGAATCTCAAATGGTTGAAAGACATTTAAGGAATTGCTCAACATCCTCAGTCATCAGGGAAATGCAACTCAAAATGACTTTGAGATACCATCTTACATCTGTCAGAATGGCTAAGATCAAAAACACTAATGTTGGAGAAGATGTGGAGAAATGAGAATACTCCTTCATTGCTGGTGGGAGTGCAAACTTATACAGCCACTTTGGAAATCAATATGGTGGTTTCTCAGAAAATTGGGAATCAATCTATCTCAAGATCCAGCTATACCACTCTTGGGCATATACCCAAAGGATGCTCAATCACACCACAAAGATACTTGCTCAACTATGTTCATAGCAGCATTGTTCATAATAGCCAGAACCTGGAAACATCTTACATGCCCCTCAACTGACAAATGGATAAGGAAAATGTGGAACATTTACACAATGGAGTATTTCTCAGCTATAAAAAACAATGACCTCAGTGACTTCTTTTCCTGTCTCCCATGTGTATCATTGTCTAATTTAGAATCATTGCTGAATAGTAGAATTTTCTACAGATTTTTCACATCCTTCCTTAACCACATGATTGTTATTGATTCCACAAAGAATTTCATAGCCCAACTGTCAATAGCGCTAAGGTTAAAACTTATTCATTGATCATGTCTTAAACAACAAACTGCATAGTGTAACAAAGAACCAAAGACTGAGTTATGCGGAGACTAGCTCCAGATGTGGGAACAAGGAAGGGGAAAGGCTTCTGTGGAGAATATCAAATCAATAATAATACTAAATATCAATCTGGTTTTATTATTAATATGCATTATAAGCTTCTGGTGAAGGTCATTGATGAAATTCTCCTTCCTTAAACACTATGTAGATTGTAATAGTTTGCAAAGCCAACAGATATTTGGCAGGCTATGGTTACTTCAATTTTCCTGCTCAATTTTAGTAATACACTTGTACACTTTAAAAATATCAGCTCTTGTCTTTGATAAACAATCTTTGTATGGAAGTAAACTCAGAGAGATGCTCACAATCAATTGACTGCTGCCTCTTATGCACTTGGCTGCACCTGTTTAATGGTAAGTTTGTCATGGCTTGGGAATAAGCTCCTTCATTTCCAGTACCTGTGATGGGGCAACCTCCCTTATGTTGGCTGCCTTCAAAAAAACAGTGAAATGTCTTTCAAATCCATTCCTTCTCTCTGTGTTATTATCTATACTCATCATATCTTGTCTGCATGATAGACATTGCTAGAAAACCGAGGATCTTCCTAATTCTAGTTTTATATGTTGCTAGACCATTCTCTCTAAAGGAGATTATGTTGCTTATCCAATTTGTAGCCTTTAATATCTCCATTTATATTTCGTATTGTATAAGGTCTGACATGGTAGCCTGCCATTCAAGCCCCCTGACCATTCATTACATTTTAGTATTACTATATTATGGCTTTTCAATCCCATGGGTCCCCATGTATGACCTATGCCCTGTAGCTAGAGTTTTCCTGCCTTGCCCACAGTCAGGACAAATCTTTGTCACCCGCCAGTCCCACAGCTGCTCAGACCCAACCAAGTAAACACAGAGACTTATATTGCTTACAAACTGTATGGCCATGGCAGGCTTCTTGCTAACTGTTCTTATAGCTTAAATTAATCCATTTCTATAAATCTATACCTTGCCACGAGGCTCATGGCTTACCGGTGGCTTCACATGCTGCTTGTCATGGCGGTGGCTGGCAGTGTCTCTCTGCTCCTTCCTGTTCTCTCAATTCTCCTGTTAGTCCCGCCTATACTTCCTGCCTGGCCACTGGCCAATCAGTGATTTATTTATTGACCAATCAGCAACACATTTGACATACAGAACATCCCACAGTAATGCTCAGTAAATTAAAATATTTGTTAACAGTCTTTACTGTGGTTTTTATTAGACCGTGTTATTTTTCTTAAGTTTTAAAATTTTATAGCATTAATATCCATATTAAATGCTTTTACTCCCAATTAAACTCTTAGGTTCATTGTCAGCATAAATTATGTCTGATTTTACCATTTTATTGTTGGCATCTAGCAGAATATCCTGGGTATTAACATAGACTGCTATGTGAATTTTGCTTCTTAAAGTAATATAATAGAAAGTGGGACTGAGTATCTGTTCAGTTGAGAATATTATGAATAGGAAATAGCAAAGTCAGAATTCAATATTCAGGACCGTAAGAGTTGAAAGATGAATAAAATTTATACCACTGTGATCATAAAGATAGGCTAAGCAATAGGTTAGATGAACCTGTATTAAAATTCAGAAATTAGTTAATTATGAAACTTGGCCTTTTGACTTCCATGTTACCTAAACCTGAAAATAAGAATTTCGAATTTATGTACTGATAACTTTCCCAAATTGAAAAAGCTAAAATTTGATGAACAGTTAGATCTTGCCAAAAGAATTGCCATCAAAATTTAAGAGCCATATATTATGGGTCATAATGCTTCCATATCTATCAAAAATACTAAAAGTTATTAACCCTGAATCTCTGGGAAAGTCATTTTATCATATAGGATCTCAGTATTGTCAACAGTCAAAAGAGGATGGTAGATGAATGCTATATACTCTCTTAATTCTGCAAGATAAAGGGAACAGTCCCTCCCTGCTCCAATCACTTGAGATTTCTCTTTCACAAACCAGAGACAGTAGTCATGCAGCCTCTCTCTCTCTTTTTTTTTTTTTTTTGGTTTTTCGAGACAGGGTTTCTCTGTGTAGCTTTGCGCCTTTCCTGGAACTCGCTTTGGAGACCAGGCTGGCCTCGAACTCACAGAGATCCGCCTGGCTCTGCCTCCCGAGTGCTGGGATTAAAGGCGTGCGCCACCACCGCCCGGCTCAGCCTCTCTTTTTATATGAAGTAGTAGGTTTCCACATCATCATTTTCCACCTTATCTAAAAGAAACACTGGTCTGCTTAGTTAAGGCGATCCCTATCTTTGAATTCTGCACATCTTTTCATCTTGTTTGAAAGCCAAATCTGGTTCAATGATGTAGGTCCTAGATGGTTCAACATCATGAAATTAGCTACCAAGCTACCAAAGTCTTCTTATGTATCAAAATCTTCCTCCATATAAGATTTCTATTGGTTTCATTTTTTGAACCTTCCAAATAGAATTTTCTCAGTCTACAATATCCTAGAAAGATGATTCTTTAATAACTGAAGAATTGAGAGTTTCCTTCCTGACTCATTTTTATGAGACATTTAAACAGATCATTTTTTTTTTTAAAGCTGGTGTGATGGCTCTCTTGGTTGTCAACTTGACTACATCTGGTATTAACTAAAACCTAAGGGACTGGGTACACTTGTGATGGATTTTTCTTAATTAAATCATTTGAAGTGGGACAATCCACCTTTAATCTGGTCACACCTTCTGGTGACAGGATATATAAAGGACATGGAAGAAGGAAGCTTTTGCTCTTTGCCTGCTTGCCCTTGTTCTCACTAGAAAGTTTATTTCTTTACTGGCGCCAGAACCTACTTGTTCAGGATTCCAGTGTATACTGAAGACCAGCTGTGATATCTAGCCTTGTGGACCAAACAACTACTGGATCCTGGACTTTCCGTGGGTAGATAGCCATTGTTGGACTAGCTTGAGCACAGCCCGTAAACTACTGTAATAAAATCCTGTATATATTCATTCTATCAGTTCTGTTCTTCTAGAGAACCCTGACAAATACATCTGGGACAGCTAAAAATATATGCAGCTTCCTAAAGCGAAGACCTCTTCCTATAGGGTAGCCTGCCATACGGAAAGCTTGGCTCCCATACTATTTAGGGAGAAGCTTCTCCAGCAGTAGGTTTCCAATGTTTCCAAAAGCTCTTTCATGTTACTAATCCCTTCATCTACTCCCCCCACTACTCTACTCTCTGCTCCCTCACCCCAGTTCAATCCTTCCTGTTGCCTTTTAACCTTTTATACCTTTCATTCTATCTCCCGTCCCTCGAATGTACTTCCCCATGCCCTTTAACAATTTCCTGACCTTTATGGATATGGACACAAAACACACATATCTGGAGATTTAATGCTAACATCCACAGATGAGAGAAAATATGTGGCATTTGTCTTTCTGGGTCTGGGTTGTCTCACTCTGAATGATTGTTTTCAGCTCCACCCATGTACCAGTGAATTTAATTTTTCTCAATAGATGAAAGAAGTATCCTTATTTTTTACATTATATGATTCTATAAATAAGAAAGACTGCAAAGTCTGTACCAGAAAACTGAAAAAAACATTTTCAGCAAAGTGACAGTATATGAAATTAGCATACAAAAGTCAACAACTTTCACATATACATCAACAGAGTAGGAAAAAATACCTAGATATAAACTCACACAATGATAGACAACTGATTTTTGACAAATATGCCAAAACTGCACTTGGAGAAAAGGCAACTTCTTCAACAGTGATTCTGGTAAAACTGAGTGTCAAATATAGCACAATGAAATGAGCCCTATTTCTCACACTGCACAAAAATCAACTTTAAATTTATCAAAGATTTTAATGAAGGTCTGAAACTAATTAGAAAAGAAATTATAGAAAACATGTCAAACTACAACCATAGGTAAAAGGCTTTCTGAGTAAGATTTGGGTTGCTTGAGAAATAATGGCAGTCATTAAGAAAATGACGAATGGGGTTGGAGAGATGACTCAGAGGTTAAGAGCACTGGCTGTTCTTCCTGAGGTCCTGAGTTCAATTCCCAGCAACCACATGGTGGCTCACAACCATCTGTAATGAGATCTGGCGCCCTCTTCTGGCCTGCAGGGACACATGCAGGCAGAGCACTGTATACATAATAAATAAATACATCTTTAAAAAAAAAGAAAATGACGAATGTTGTTGAAGATGTGGACCAAACTGAACGCGATACTCTGCTGGTGAGAATATAAATTAGTCCAGTCACTATGAAACTTTCTAAAAAACTGAAAATCAATTGACAATATGGTCCAGTTATACTATTGTATTTTTACCCTGGAGAATTCCAAGTTCATCTATCTCAGAGATACTTGTGCACCATGGTTATTCCAGCATTATTCACAATTGTTAAGTTATGGAATGACTTCAAGTATCCAGCAGCAAAGGATTGGGTACAAAAAAGTGCCATATACCTGTACAGTAGAATTTTTCACAATAAAAAGAACAATGTGACATTGTTTGCAGAGAAGTGGATTTGACTGGAGATAGTTATAGCATGTTAATAAAAGCAGTATAACATACATACTGGGTTTCTCACATTTACGGTTCCTAGATTTTATAGATACACATAAAATCATGTGTTTATAACATGTCATAACATAAGAGTAGAAATGAAGCTGTCTGGGGAAAAATAGAATTAATTATAGGAGGAAAAAAGGAAGTAAGGGAGAGAAGAAGGAAGTTATGTGTAACTCTTTTTCTCATGTAGTGTGTGTGCATACACATTTTTTAAAAAAGAAAATAATAAGCAATAAAAAGACTTGAAAGGAAGAAATTATAAAACTATGTTTTAATTTATTCCTTGGTGACCTAATTTATTTTAGATTTTGGATGTGGTGTCTGATTATATATGTTTGATCATACACTGATTTGAATGTTTTATATGTCTTTATCAGAATAAAAATCAGTTTTAAATAGGATTGGTACAGTTTTTGCTATTAGAATGAAACCAGAGATGAAGGTTTTTTTTCTTTTTTTTTTCTGAGACAAGGTTTCTTTATATAATAGTCCTGCTGTCCTGGAACTTGCTCTGTAGACCAGGCTGGCCTTGAACTCACAGAGATCCGCTTGGTTCTGCCTCCCAAATGCTGGGATTAAAGACGTGTGCCACCACTGCCCGGCTCAGAAATATATTTTAATAATTTTAATTTTCTATAATTATGTAGTCATGAGTTTCTTGGAAGGTTAAGCACTGTTTTATAGCAACATAGACTCTCATGCTAGAGGGCCTCCATTGTCTTCACTGTTGAGATACAAGGAGAGATGGCTCAGTGGTTAAGAGCACTGGCTGTTCTTCAAGAGGTCCTGAGTTCAATTCCCAGCAACTACATGGTGGCTCACAACCATCTGTAATGAGATCTGGTGTCAAAAGAAGCTGATGGATTCTGGGTTACAGCTGCTTTTTAATTCATTATTTTGTATGTGGCCAAACATAATTATATTTTGCTTAGCATACACCCAGTCAATGATATGAAAAACACTAATAACTAATTGAAAACCAAAATATAATAAAACTTCTCAATATTCTGTAGAGGCCAAAGGATTAATATTGTAAGTGAATACTCTCTGAAGTAAAGATAGATGGGCACAGTTGAGCAGGTGAAATGAAACTTATCTGACACTCTGAGAATGTTTCACGGAGTGCTAACCACATACCAACAGAAGTAGTTTGACAAATGCCAGTTTGAGTTATGAATTTAGCAGTATTTTAATATTAAGTGATTTTATGTGCTTTCAGTATAGATTTCTGTATCTAAACAGAAATGAGAAAAAAGTGGACTCATGAAATTAGCAGAGTAATAAACAATGGAAGCCAAAAGCTACAGTTTTATATTTTAATATTACTTTGCATTCAAGATTCTTAGTATCTTCTGCAACAGTGTGAAATTAAAGGTCCATCCACAGAAATGAATGTGACATTATTTTCTAATTTTCAAGCAGTAACTATACTTTTTAGTTTCCATATTGTGTTTGGCATGAGAAAGCTTCATAAGGTTAATACTTTTAATGTGGTTAATAGGTTAATAGCAGTAGTGTATCACTGCACACCCTCAGCCTCTGTCCAGAAGAGTTTAATGACATAAGAGTGTTTGAATATAATACCAAATATAAATGTCCATTTCTGAAACAGT